CTGGTAGGAGCAAGATGGGTCCTTTAGAAGCCCTGTCACTCCTCTGTTTCCAGGTCATGTTCCGAAAACAGTGGCCTTCATTTGGCCCAGAGCTTTCCTGGGCTCTGTCTGTCAGGCTCCTTCCAGCGTCGCAACAATGCAGCTGTCAAGCCCAGCTTGCTCTGTCCTCAGTCCCAGGAAACACCTCTGGTGAGCAAACGAGTGTGCAGTTGTACCGATGCCCGCAGAGCGCCTCCGTTGGGTCAATGATGACAACCCTTAATCTTGAAGTGAGGTGATGACTTAAAAATCATGCTCAATAGGATTACGCTGAGGCCCAGTCAGGTGCCATTGTGGTGGCACCATGTTGGGGAGTCTTAGGTTTCTCCCCAGCGATGGGATTGGGTTCTCGAGGCGGGCAGATCCTTGAGAGGATGCCACGTGCCTCCCCCCGATCACCGCTACGTGAACATGGCCTCCTCCGTGTTCACGGTTGTGTTTGGTGCACAGTAGTTCTGCACTGAGAGCCACGCCAGAGGCCAGCTCTTAAAACAGATGTCTCCTCTGGTTGTGTCTTGCAGTGCGACCATCTCTCCAATTGGTGGTCGTGGCCTTCACGTTTCAGGTGAGTGGCTGACTGTTGTGTTGGACAGAGAGCTCGTGTGCATGAGAGTCAGCAGGAGGCTCTCTGTGGGCAAGAGAGACCCTGGTGCTCTATTCTTGGTGGCTCTAAGCCCTTGGGAATGGGCCTACCCAGAGCCAAAGTTGTCCCTCCTCTCTGAAAGTTATCGGTCTGAAAGAGGTCTCAGTGCTCTTTTCTGGGGGGTGGGGCGGGGGGTGGTATGTTTTAGCCATTGTCATGTGACATGTGCATGCCTTGAGCGCCTAAGCTACCCTACCCTCTCCTGAATGAACGCTCAATGTCATGGTCAGTGTTAGCATATCAGGAGGCGGTGTGTCCAAGAGGACCACGCCCAGGAGTGAGCAGTAGGGTTTCTGCTCAGCCTCCTTGGCAAACGCTGCGTGTGTGCGTAGTGAGAATCCTATGGCTGGTGGTGTGTGTCCGCATGGATTCGGTAGTGCCTTGCTTTCCATTGGTGCATTTCCTGCTTTTCGGATGTATTTCTTTCCTCTTTCATTTGTTGGTTTTGGGCGTGATCATTTGCACATAAATGGCCATCGTGCTTTAGGTTCAGTTCCGAGGGGGAAGAGAGAGGTCCTTTAGCGGCCGTCCTACTCCTCTTTGTCCAGGTCATGTTTGGAAAAAAAGGGTTTCCGTGGGCGCAGAGCTTCCTGTGTGTGTGTCAGGCTCCTTCCAGAGTGGGAAACAGAGTGCAGCTCTCCAGCCCACCTTGCTATGTCCTTAGTTCCAGGAAACATCTCTGGTGAGCATATGAGTGTGCCCTGGTTCCTGTGTGCGCGAAGTGCTGTCTCTGGGTCAATGATGTCTACGCGGTCTGGGCCTTGAAGAGAGGTGATGACATAAAAATCCTGCTCAATAGGATTACGCTGAGGCCCACTGTGGGTGACAGATCGGTGGCACCGTGCTGGGGAGTCTTAGGGTTCTCCCCAGCGTTGGGATTGGGAGCTGGAGGCAGGCAGATTCCTCAGAGGATGCCACGTGCCTCTCCCCGATCGCTTCCATGTGATCGTAGCCTTCTCCGCGAACAGCGGTGTTTTGGGTGCCCAGTGGACGTCCAAGATGGCGGTACCAGAGGCCAACTCTTAAGACAAAACGTCTCTCCTCTGGTTGTGTCTTGCAGTGCGACCATCTCTCCACATGGTGGTCGTGGCCTTCACGTCTCAGGTGAGTGGCTGACTTGTCTGTGGACAGACAGCACGTGTGCATGAAAATAGGTATGGGGCTCTCTTTGGTCAAGAGAGAGCCTGGTGCTGTGTAATTGGTGACTCTAAGCCCTTGGGAACGGGCCGCCCCAAAGCCAAACGTGTCCCTCCTCTCTGAAAGGAATCGGACTGAAAGGGGGGGCTCAGTGCTCCCTCTTGGGGTCCCGTGACAGTGTCATGTGACACGTGCATGGCTTGAGCGCCTAACCTCCTGTACCTTCACCTGAGTGGATGCCCAGTGTCCTGGTGAGTGTTGGAATCGCGCCAGATTCCTGTGTCCAAGGGGACCACGCCCAAGCATGAGCAGTATGGCTCCTCTTCAGCTTTCTTGCAAACCCTAAGGGTGTGTGCGGTGAGAATCCTGTTGCTGGTTATTTTTTGTTGGTGGTGTGGGATCCTAGTGCCCCCATCTCCATGGTGCATTTTTTATGTGATTCCTATTATTTGTTTGTTTGGTCATGTTGTTTCATTCATTCTCTCCTTTCCTGGTTTTGGACGTGGTCATTGGCGCCTAAATGAACAAGTTTCCGTACAATTGAGGTCTGATAGGAACAAGATGGGTCCTTTAGAAGCCCTGTCACTCCTCTGTTTCCAGGTCATGTTCCGAAAACAGTGGCCTTCATTTGGCCCAGAGCTTTCCTGGGCTCTGTCTGTCAGGCTCCTTCCAGCGTCGCAACAATGCAGCTGTCAAGCCCAGCTTGCTCTGTCCTCAGTCCCAGGAAACACCTCTGGTGAGCAAACGAGTGTGCAGTTGTACCGATGCCCGCAGAGCGCCTCCGTTGGGTCAATGATGACAACCCTTAATCTTGAAGTGAGGTGATGACTTAAAAATCATGCTCAATAGGATTACGCTGAGGCCCAGTCAGGTGCCATTGTGGTGGCACCATGTTGGGAAGTCTTAGGTTTCTCCCCAGCGATGGGATTGGGTTCTCGAGGCGGGCAGATCCTTGAGAGGATGCCACGTGCCTCCCCCCGATCACCGCTACGTGAACATGGCCTCCTCCGTGTTCACGGTTGTGTTTGGTGCACAGTAGTTCTGCACTGAGAGCCACGCCAGAGGCCAGCTCTTAAAACAGATGTCTCCTCTGGTTGTGTCTTGCAGTGCGACCATCTCTCCAATTGGTGGTCGTGGCCTTCACGTTTCAGGTGAGTGGCTGACTGTTGTGTTGGACAGAGAGCTCGTGTGCATGAGAGTCAGCAGGAGGCTCTCTGTGGGCAAGAGAGACCCTGGTGCTCTATTCTTGGTGGCTCTAAGCCCTTGGGAATGGGCCTACCCAGAGCCAAAGTTGTCCCTCCTCTCTGAAAGTTATCGGTCTGAAAGAGGTCTCAGTGCTCTTTTCTGGGGGGTGGGGCGGGGGGTGGTATGTTTTAGCCATTGTCATGTGACATGTGCATGCCTTGAGCGCCTAAGCTACCCTACCCTCTCCTGAATGAACGCTCAATGTCATGGTCAGTGTTAGCATATCAGGAGGCGGTGTGTCCAAGAGGACCACGCCCAGGAGTGAGCAGTAGGGTTTCTGCTCAGCCTCCTTGGCAAACGCTGCGTGTGTGCGTAGTGAGAATCCTATGGCTGGTGGTGTGTGTCCGCATGGATTCGGTAGTGCCTTGCTTTCCATTGGTGCATTTCCTGCTTTTCGGATGTATTTCTTTCCTCTTTCATTTGTTGGTTTTGGGCGTGATCATTTGCACATAAATGGCCATCGTGCTTTAGGTTCAGTTCCGAGGGGGAAGAGAGAGGTCCTTTAGCGGCCGTCCTACTCCTCTTTGTCCAGGTCATGTTTGGAAAAAAAGGGTTTCCGTGGGCGCAGAGCTTCCTGTGTGTGTGTCAGGCTCCTTCCAGAGTGGGAAACAGAGTGCAGCTCTCCAGCCCACCTTGCTATGTCCTTAGTTCCAGGAAACATCTCTGGTGAGCATATGAGTGTGCCCTGGTTCCTGTGTGCGCGAAGTGCTGTCTCTGGGTCAATGATGTCTACGCGGTCTGGGCCTTGAAGAGAGGTGATGACATAAAAATCCTGCTCAATAGGATTACGCTGAGGCCCACTGTGGGTGACAGATCGGTGGCACCGTGCTGGGGAGTCTTAGGGTTCTCCCCAGCGTTGGGATTGGGAGCTGGAGGCAGGCAGATTCCTCAGAGGATGCCACGTGCCTCTCCCCGATCGCTTCCACGTGATCGTAGCCTTCTCCGCGAACAGCGGTGTTTTGGGTGCCCAGTGGACGTCCAAGATGGCGGTACCAGAGGCCAACTCTTAAGACAAAACGTCTCTCCTCTGGTTGTGTCTTGCAGTGCGACCATCTCTCCACATGGTGGTCGTGGCCTTCACGTCTCAGGTGAGTGGCTGACTTGTGTGTGGACAGACAGCACGTGTGCATGAAAATAGGTATGGGGCTCTCTTTGGTCAAGAGAGAGCCTGGTGCTGTGTAATTGGTGACTCTAAGCCCTTGGGAACGGGCCGCCCCAAAGCCAAACGTGTCCCTCCTCTCTGAAAGGAATCGGACTGAAAGGGGGGCTCAGTGCTCCCTCTTGGGGTCCCGTGACAATGTCATGTGACACGTGCATGGCTTGAGCGCCTAACCTCCTGTACCTTCACCTGAGTGGATGCCCAGTGTCCTGGTGAGTGTTGGAATCGCGCCAGATTCCTGTGTCCAAGGGGACCACGCCCAAGCATGAGCAGTATGGCTCCTCTTCAGCTTTCTTGCAAACCCTAAGGGTGTGTGCGGTGAGAATCCTGTTGCTGGTTATTTTTTGTTGGTGGTGTGGGATCCTAGTGCCCCCATCTCCATGGTGCATTTTTTATGTGATTCCTATTATTTGTTTGTTTGGTCATGTTGTTTCATTCATTCTCTCCTTTCCTGGTTTTGGACGTGGTCATTGGCACCTAAATGAACAAGTTCCCTTACAATTGAGGTCTGGTAGGAGCAAGATGGGTCCTTTAGAAGCCCTGTCACTCCTCTGTTTCCAGGTCATGTTCCGAAAACAGTGTCCTTCATTTGGCCCAGAGCTTTCCTGGGCTCTGTCTGTCAGGCTCCTTCCAGCGTCGCAACAATGCAGCTGTCAAGCCCAGCTTGCTCTGTCCTCAGTCCCAGGAAACACCTCTGGTGAGCAAACGAGTGTGCAGTTGTACCGATGCCCGCAGAGCGCCTCCGTTGGGTCAATGATGACAACCCTTAATCTTGAAGTGAGGTGATGACTTAAAAATCATGCTCAATAGGATTACGCTGAGGCCCAGTCAGGTGCCATTGTGGTGGCACCATGTTGGGGAGTCTTAGGTTTCTCCCCAGCGATGGGATTGGGTTCTCGAGGCGGGCAGATCCTTGAGAGGATGCCACGTGCCTCCCCCCGATCACCGCTACGTGAACATGGCCTCCTCCGTGTTCACGGTTGTGTTTGGTGCACAGTAGTTCTGCACTGAGAGCCACGCCAGAGGCCAGCTCTTAAAACAGATGTCTCCTCTGGTTGTGTCTTGCAGTGCGACCATCTCTCCAATTGGTGGTCGTGGCCTTCACGTTTCAGGTGAGTGGCTGACTGTTGTGTTGGACAGAGAGCTCGTGTGCATGAGAGTCAGCAGGAGGCTCTCTGTGGGCAAGAGAGACCCTGGTGCTCTATTCTTGGTGGCTCTAAGCCCTTGGGAATGGGCCTACCCAGAGCCAAAGTTGTCCCTCCTCTCTGAAAGTTATCGGTCTGAAAGAGGTCTCAGTGCTCTTTTCTGGGGGGTGGGGCGGGGGGTGGTATGTTTTAGCCATTGTCATGTGACATGTGCATGCCTTGAGCGCCTAAGCTACCCTACCCTCTCCTGAATGAACGCTCAATGTCATGGTCAGTGTTAGCATATCAGGAGGCGGTGTGTCCAAGAGGACCACGCCCAGGAGTGAGCAGTAGGGTTTCTGCTCAGCCTCCTTGGCAAACGCTGCGTGTGTGCGTAGTGAGAATCCTATGGCTGGTGGTGTGTGTCCGCATGGATTCGGTAGTGCCTTGCTTTCCATTGGTGCATTTCCTGCTTTTCGGATGTATTTCTTTCCTCTTTCATTTGTTGGTTTTGGGCGTGATCATTTGCACATAAATGGCCATCGTGCTTTAGGTTCAGTTCCGAGGGGGAAGAGAGAGGTCCTTTAGCGGCCGTCCTACTCCTCTTTGTCCAGGTCATGTTTGGAAAAAAAGGGTTTCCGTGGGCGCAGAGCTTCCTGTGTGTGTGTCAGGCTCCTTCCAGAGTGGGAAACAGAGTGCAGCTCTCCAGCCCACCTTGCTATGTCCTTAGTTCCAGGAAACATCTCTGGTGAGCATATGAGTGTGCCCTGGTTCCTGTGTGCGCGAAGTGCTGTCTCTGGGTCAATGATGTCTACGCGGTCTGGGCCTTGAAGAGAGGTGATGACATAAAAATCCTGCTCAATAGGATTACGCTGAGGCCCACTGTGGGTGACAGATCGGTGGCACCGTGCTGGGGAGTCTTAGGGTTCTCCCCAGCGTTGGGATTGGGAGCTGGAGGCAGGCAGATTCCTCAGAGGATGCCACGTGCCTCTCCCCGATCGCTTCCACGTGATCGTAGCCTTCTCCGCGAACAGCGGTGTTTTGGGTGCCCAGTGGACGTCCAAGATGGCGGTACCAGAGGCCAACTCTTAAGACAAAACGTCTCTCCTCTGGTTGTGTCTTGCAGTGCGACCATCTCTCCACATGGTGGTCGTGGCCTTCACGTCTCAGGTGAGTGGCTGACTTGTGTGTGGACAGACAGCACGTGTGCATGAAAATAGGTATGGGGCTCTCTTTGGTCAAGAGAGAGCCTGGTGCTGTGTAATTGGTGACTCTAAGCCCTTGGGAACGGGCCGCCCCAAAGCCAAACGTGTCCCTCCTCTCTGAAAGGAATCGGACTGAAAGGGGGGGCTCAGTGCTCCCTCTTGGGGTCCCGTGACAGTGTCATGTGACACGTGCATGGCTTGAGCGCCTAACCTCCTGTACCTTCACCTGAGTGGATGCCCAGTGTCCTGGTGAGTGTTGGAATCGCGCCAGATTCCTGTGTCCAAGGGGACCACGCCCAAGCTTGAGCAGTATGGCTCCTCTTCAGCTTTCTTGTAAACCCTAAGGGTGTGTGCGGTGAGAATCCTGTTGCTGGTTATTTTTTGTTGGTGGTGTGGGATCCTAGTGCCCCCATCTCCATGGTGCATTTTTTATGTGATTCCTATTATTTGTTTGTTTGGTCATGTTGTTTCATTCATTCTCTCCTTTCCTGGTTTTGGACGTGGTCATTGGCGCCTAAATGAACAAGTTCCCTTACAATTGAGGTCTGATAGGAACAAGATGGGTCCTTTAGAAGCCCTGTCACTCCTCTGTTTCCAGGTCATGTTCCGAAAACAGTGTCCTTCATTTGGCCCAGAGCTTTCCTGGGCTCTGTCTGTCAGGCTCCTTCCAGCGTCGCAACAATGCAGCTGTCAAGCCCAGCTTGCTCTGTCCTCAGTCCCAGGAAACACCTCTGGTGAGCAAACGAGTGTGCAGTTGTACCGATGCCCGCAGAGCGCCTCCGTTGGGTCAATGATGACAACCCTTAATCTTGAAGTGAGGTGATGACTTAAAAATCATGCTCAATAGGATTACGCTGAGGCCCAGTCAGGTGCCATTGTGGTGGCACCATGTTGGGGAGTCTTAGGTTTCTCCCCAGCGATGGGATTGGGTTCTCGAGGCGGGCAGATCCTTGAGAGGATGCCACGTGCCTCCCCCCGATCACCGCTACGTGAACATGGCCTCCTCCGTGTTCACGGTTGTGTTTGGTGCACAGTAGTTCTGCACTGAGAGCCACGCCAGAGGCCAGCTCTTAAAACAGATGTCTCCTCTGGTTGTGTCTTGCAGTGCGACCATCTCTCCAATTGGTGGTCGTGGCCTTCACGTTTCAGGTGAGTGGCTGACTGTTGTGTTGGACAGAGAGCTCGTGTGCATGAGAGTCAGCAGGAGGCTCTCTGTGGGCAAGAGAGACCCTGGTGCTCTATTCTTGGTGGCTCTAAGCCCTTGGGAATGGGCCTACCCAGAGCCAAAGTTGTCCCTCCTCTCTGAAAGTTATCGGTCTGAAAGAGGTCTCAGTGCTCTTTTCTGGGGGGTGGGGCGGGGGGTGGTATGTTTTAGCCATTGTCATGTGACATGTGCATGCCTTGAGCGCCTAAGCTACCCTACCCTCTCCTGAATGAACGCTCAATGTCATGGTCAGTGTTAGCATATCAGGAGGCGGTGTGTCCAAGAGGACCACGCCCAGGAGTGAGCAGTAGGGTTTCTGCTCAGCCTCCTTGGCAAACGCTGCGTGTGTGCGTAGTGAGAATCCTATGGCTGGTGGTGTGTGTCCGCATGGAATCGGTAGTGCCTTGCTTTCCATTGGTGCATTTCCTGCTTTTCGGATGTATTTCTTTCCTCTTTCATTTGTTGGTTTTGGGCGTGATCATTTGCACATAAATGGCCATCGTGCTTTAGGTTCAGTTCCGAGGGGGAAGAGAGAGGTCCTTTAGCGGCCGTCCTACTCCTCTTTGTCCAGGTCATGTTTGGAAAAAAAGGGTTTCCGTGGGCGCAGAGCTTCCTGTGTGTGTGTCAGGCTCCTTCCAGAGTGGGAAACAGAGTGCAGCTCTCCAGCCCACCTTGCTATGTCCTTAGTTCCAGGAAACATCTCTGGTGAGCATATGAGTGTGCCCTGGTTCCTGTGTGCGCGAAGTGCTGTCTCTGGGTCAATGATGTCTACGCGGTCTGGGCCTTGAAGAGAGGTGATGACATAAAAATCCTGCTCAATAGGATTACGCTGAGGCCCACTGTGGGTGACAGATCGGTGGCACCGTGCTGGGGAGTCTTAGGGTTCTCCCCAGCGTTGGGATTGGGAGCTGGAGGCAGGCAGATTCCTCAGAGGATGCCCCGTGCCTCTCCCCGATCGCTTCCACGTGATCGTAGCCTTCTCCGCGAACAGCGGTGTTTTGGGTGCCCAGTGGACGTCCAAGATGGCGGTACCAGAGGCCAACTCTTAAGACAAAACGTCTCTCCTCTGGTTGTGTCTTGCAGTGCGACCATCTCTCCACATGGTGGTCGTGGCCTTCACGTCTCAGGTGAGTGGCTGACTTGTGTGTGGACAGACAGCACGTGTGCATGAAAATAGGTATGGGGCTCTCTTTGGTCAAGAGAGAGCCTGGTGCTGTGTAATTGGTGACTCTAAGCCCTTGGGAACGGGCCGCCCCAAAGCCAAACGTGTCCCTCCTCTCTGAAAGGAATCGTACTGAAAGGGGGGGCTCAGTGCTCCCTCTTGGGGTCCCGTGACAATGTCATGTGACACGTGCATGGCTTGAGCGCCTAACCTCCTGTACCTTCACCTGAGTGGATGCCCAGTGTCCTGGTGAGTGTTGGAATCGCGCCAGATTCCTGTGTCCAAGGGGACCACGCCCAGGCATGAGCAGTATGGCTCCTCTTCAGCTTTCTTGCAAACCCTAAGGGTGTGTGCGGTGAGAATCCTGTTGCTGGTTATTTTTTGTTGGTGGTGTGGGATCCTAGTGCCCCCATCTCCATGGTGCATTTTTTATGTGATTCCTATTATTTGTTTGTTTGGTCATGTTGTTTCATTCATTCTCTCCTTTCCTGGTTTTGGACGTGGTCATTGGCGCCTAAATGAACAAGTTCCCTTACAATTGAGGTCTGATAGGAACAAGATGGGTCCTTTAGAAGCCCTGTCACTCCTCTGTTTCCAGGTCATGTTCCGAAAACAGTGGCCTTCATTTGGCCCAGAGCTTTCCTGGGCTCTGTCTGTCAGGCTCCTTCCAGCGTCGCAACAATGCAGCTGTCAAGCCCAGCTTGCTCTGTCCTCAGTCCCAGGAAACACCTCTGGTGAGCAAACGAGTGTGCAGTTGTACCGATGCCCGCAGAGCGCCTCCGTTGGGTCAATGATGACAACCCTTAATCTTGAAGTGAGGTGATGACTTAAAAATCATGCTCAATAGGATTACGCTGAGGCCCAGTCAGGTGCCATTGTGGTGGCACCATGTTGGGGAGTCTTAGGTTTCTCCCCAGCGATGGGATTGGGTTCTCGAGGCGGGCAGATCCTTGAGAGGATGCCACGTGCCTCCCCCCGATCACCGCTACGTGAACATGGCCTCCTCCGTGTTCACGGTTGTGTTTGGTGCACAGTAGTTCTGCACTGAGAGCCACGCCAGAGGCCAGCTCTTAAAACAGATGTCTCCTCTGGTTGTGTCTTGCAGTGCGACCATCTCTCCAATTGGTGGTCGTGGCCTTCACGTTTCAGGTGAGTGGCTGACTGTTGTGTTGGACAGAGAGCTCGTGTGCATGAGAGTCAGCAGGAGGCTCTCTGTGGGCAAGAGAGACCCTGGTGCTCTATTCTTGGTGGCTCTAAGCCCTTGGGAATGGGCCTACCCAGAGCCAAAGTTGTCCCTCCTCTCTGAAAGTTATCGGTCTGAAAGAGGTCTCAGTGCTCTTTTCTGGGGGGTGGGGCGGGGGGTGGTATGTTTTAGCCATTGTCATGTGACATGTGCATGCCTTGAGCGCCTAAGCTACCCTACCCTCTCCTGAATGAACGCTCAATGTCATGGTCAGTGTTAGCATATCAGGAGGCGGTGTGTCCAAGAGGACCACGCCCAGGAGTGAGCAGTAGGGTTTCTGCTCAGCCTCCTTGGCAAACGCTGCGTGTGTGCGTAGTGAGAATCCTATGGCTGGTGGTGTGTGTCCGCATGGATTCGGTAGTGCCTTGCTTTCCATTGGTGCATTTCCTGCTTTTCGGATGTATTTCTTTCCTCTTTCATTTGTTGGTTTTGGGCGTGATCATTTGCACATAAATGGCCATCGTGCTTTAGGTTCAGTTCCGAGGGGGAAGAGAGAGGTCCTTTAGCGGCCGTCCTACTCCTCTTTGTCCAGGTCATGTTTGGAAAAAAAGGGTTTCCGTGGGCGCAGAGCTTCCTGTGTGTGTGTCAGGCTCCTTCCAGAGTGGGAAACAGAGTGCAGCTCTCCAGCCCACCTTGCTATGTCCTTAGTTCCAGGAAACATCTCTGGTGAGCATATGAGTGTGCCCTGGTTCCTGTGTGCGCGAAGTGCTGTCTCTGGGTCAATGATGTCTACGCGGTCTGGGCCTTGAAGAGAGGTGATGACATAAAAATCCTGCTCAATAGGATTACGCTGAGGCCCACTGTGGGTGACAGATCGGTGGCACCGTGCTGGGGAGTCTTAGGGTTCTCCCCAGCGTTGGGATTGGGAGCTGGAGGCAGGCAGATTCCTCAGAGGATGCCACGTGCCTCTCCCCGATCGCTTCCACGTGATCGTAGCCTTCTCCGCGAACAGCGGTGGTTTGGGTGCCCAGTGGACGTCCAAGATGGCGGTACCAGAGGCCAACTCTTAAGACAAAACGTCTCTCCTCTGGTTGTGTCTTGCAGTGCGACCATCTCTCCACATGGTGGTCGTGGCCTTCACGTCTCAGGTGAGTGGCTGACTTGTGTGTGGACAGACAGCACGTGTGCATGAAAATAGGTATGGGGCTCTCTTTGGTCAAGAGAGAGCCTGGTGCTGTGTAATTGGTGACTCTAAGCCCTTGGGAACGGGCCGCCCCAAAGCCAAACGTGTCCCTCCTCTCTGAAAGGAATCGGACTGAAAGGGGGGCTCAGTGCTCCCTCTTGGGTTCCCGTGACAATGTCATGTGACACGTGCATGGCTTGAGCGCCTAACCTCCTGTACCTTCACCTGAGTGGATGCCCAGTGTCCTGGTGAGTGTTGGAATCGCGCCAGATTCCTGTGTCCAAGGGGACCACGCCCAGGCATGAGCAGTATGGCTCCTCTTCAGCTTTCTTGCAAACCCTAAGGGTGTGTGCGGTGAGAATCCTGTTGCTGGTTATTTTTTGTTGGTGGTGTGGGATCCTAGTGCCCCCATCTCCATGGTGCATTTTTTATGTGATTCCTATTATTTGTTTGTTTGGTCATGTTGTTTCATTCATTCTCTCCTTTCCTGGTTTTGGACGTGGTCATTGGCGCCTAAATGAACAAGTTTCCGTACAATTGAGGTCTGATAGGAACAAGATGGGTCCTTTAGAAGCCCTGTCACTCCTCTGTTTCCAGGTCATGTTCCGAAAACAGTGGCCTTCATTTGGCCCAGAGCTTTCCTGGGCTCTGTCTGTCAGGCTCCTTCCAGCGTCGCAACAATGCAGCTGTCAAGCCCAGCTTGCTCTGTCCTCAGTCCCAGGAAACACCTCTGGTGAGCAAACGAGTGTGCAGTTGTACCGATGCCCGCAGAGCGCCTCCGTTGGGTCAATGATGACAACCCTTAATCTTGAAGTGAGGTGATGACTTAAAAATCATGCTCAATAGGATTACGCTGAGGCCCAGTCAGGTGCCATTGTGGTGGCACCATGTTGGGGAGTCTTAGGTTTCTCCCCAGCGATGGGATTGGGTTCTCGAGGCGGGCAGATCCTTGAGAGGATGCCACGTGCCTCCCCCCGATCACCGCTACGTGAACATGGCCTCCTCCGTGTTCACGGTTGTGTTTGGTGCACAGTAGTTCTGCACTGAGAGCCACGCCAGAGGCCAGCTCTTAAAACAGATGTCTCCTCTGGTTGTGTCTTGCAGTGCGACCATCTCTCCAATTGGTGGGCGTGGCCTTCACGTTTCAGGTGAGTGGCTGACTGTTGTGTTGGACAGAGAGCTCGTGTGCATGAGAGTCAGCAGGAGGCTCTCTGTGGGCAAGAGAGACCCTGGTGCTCTATTCTTGGTGGCTCTAAGCCCTTGGGAATGGGCCTACCCAGAGCCAAAGTTGTCCCTCCTCTCTGAAAGTTATCGGTCTGAAAGAGGTCTCAGTGCTCTTTTCTGGGGGGTGGGGCGGGGGGTGGTATGTTTTAGCCATTGTCATGTGACATGTGCATGCCTTGAGCGCCTAAGCTACCCTACCCTCTCCTGAATGAACGCTCAATGTCATGGTCAGTGTTAGCATATCAGGAGGCGGTGTGTCCAAGAGGACCACGCCCAGGAGTGAGCAGTAGGGTTTCTGCTCAGCCTCCTTGGCAAACGCTGCGTGTGTGCGTAGTGAGAATCCTATGGCTGGTGGTGTGTGTCCGCATGGATTCGGTAGTGCCTTGCTTTCCATTGGTGCATTTCCTGCTTTTCGGATGTATTTCTTTCCTCTTTCATTTGTTGGTTTTGGGCGTGATCATTGGCACATAAATGGCCATCGTGCTTTAGGTTCAGTTCCGAGGGGGAAGAGAGAGGTCCTTTAGCGGCCGTCCTACTCCTCTTTGTCCAGGTCATGTTTGGAAAAAAAGGGTTTCCGTGGGCGCAGAGCTTCCTGTGTGTGTGTCAGGCTCCTTCCAGAGTGGGAAACAGAGTGCAGCTCTCCAGCCCACCTTGCTATGTCCTTAGTTCCAGGAAACATCTCTGGTGAGCATATGAGTGTGCCCTGGTTCCTGTGTGCGCGAAGTGCTGTCTCTGGGTCAATGATGTCTACGCGGTCTGGGCCTTGAAGAGAGGTGATGACATAAAAATCCTGCTCAATAGGATTACGCTGAGGCCCACTGTGGGTGACAGATCGGTGGCACCGTGCTGGGGAGTCTTAGGGTTCTCCCCAGCGTTGGGATTGGGAGCTGGAGGCAGGCAGATTCCTCAGAGGATGCCACGTGCCTCTCCCCGATCGCTTCCACGTGATCGTAGCCTTCTCCGCGAACAGCGGTGTTTTGGGTGCCCAGTGGACGTCCAAGATGGCGGTACCAGAGGCCAACTCTTAAGACAAAACGTCTCTCCTCTGGTTGTGTCTTGCAGTGCGACCATCTCTCCACATGGTGGTCGTGGCCTTCACGTCTCAGGTGAGTGGCTGACTTGTGTGTGGACAGACAGCACGTGTGCATGAAAATAGGTATGGGGCTCTCTTTGGTCAAGAGAGAGCCTGGTGCTGTGTAATTGGTGACTCTAAGCCCTTGGGAACGGGCCGCCCCAAAGCCAAACGTGTCCCTCCTCTCTGAAAGGAATCGGACTGAAAGGGGGGGCTCAGTGCTCCCTCTTGGGGTCCCGTGACAGTGTCATGTGACACGTGCATGGCTTGAGCGCCTAACCTCCTGTACCTTCACCTGAGTGGATGCCCAGTGTCCTGGTGAGTGTTGGAATCGCGCCAGATTCCTGTGTCCAAGGGGACCACGCCCAAGCATGAGCAGTATGGCTCCTCTTCAGCTTTCTTGCAAACCCTAAGGGTGTGTGCGGTGAGAATCCTGTTGCTGGTTATTTTTTGTTGGTGGTGTGGGATCCTAGTGCCCCCATCTCCATGGTGCATTTTTTATGTGATTCCTATTATTTGTTTGTTTGGTCATGTTGTTTCATTCATTCTCTCCTTTCCTGGTTTTGGACGTGGTCATTGGCGCCTAAATGAACAAGTTCCCTTACAATTGAGATCTGGTAGGAGCAAGATGGGTCCTTTAGAAGCCCTGTCACTCCTCTGTTTCCAGGTCATGTTCCGAAAACAGTGGCCTTCATTTGGCCCAGAGCTTTCCTGGGCTCTGTCTGTCAGGCTCCTTCCAGCGTCGCAACAATGCAGCTGTCAAGCCCAGCTTGCTCTGTCCTCAGTCCCAGGAAACACCTCTGGTGAGCAAACGAGTGTGCAGTTGTACCGATGCCCGCAGAGCGCCTCCGTTGGGTCAATGATGACAACCCTTAATCTTGAAGTGAGGTGATGACTTAAAAATCATGCTCAATAGGATTACGCTGAGGCCCAGTCAGGTGCCATTGTGGTGGCACCATGTTGGGGAGTCTTAGGTTTCTCCCCAGCGATGGGATTGGGTTCTCGAGGCGGGCAGATCCTTGAGAGGATGCCACGTGCCTCCCCCCGATCACCGCTACGTGAACATGGCCTCCTCCGTGTTCACGGTTGTGTTTGGTGCACAGTAGTTCTGCACTGAGAGCCACGCCAGAGGCCAGCTCTTAAAACAGATGTCTCCTCTGGTTGTGTCTTGCAGTGCGACCATCTCTCCAATTGGTGGTCGTGGCCTTCACGTTTCAGGTGAGTGGCTGACAGTTGTGTTGGACAGAGAGCTCGTGTGCATGAGAGTCAGCAGGAGGCTCTCTGTGGGCAAGAGAGACCCTGGTGCTCTATTCTTGGTGGCTCTAAGCCCTTGGGAATGGGCCTACCCAGAGCCAAAGTTGTCCCTCCTCTCTGAAAGTTATCGGTCTGAAAGAGGTCTCAGTGCTCTTTTCTGGGGGGTGGGGCGGGGGGTGGTATGTTTTAGCCATTGTCATGTGACATGTGCATGCCTTGAGCGCCTAAGCTACCCTACCCTCTCCTGAATGAACGCTCAATGTCATGGTCAGTGTTAGCATATCAGGAGGCGGTGTGTCCAAGAGGACCACGCCCAGGAGTGAGCAGTAGGGTTTCTGCTCAGCCTCCTTGGCAAACGCTGCGTGTGTGCGTAGTGAGAATCCTATGGCTGGTGGTGTGTGTCCGCATGGATTCGGTAGTGCCTTGCTTTCCATTGGTGCATTTCCTGCTTTTCGGATGTATTTCTTTCCTCTTTCATTTGTTGGTTTTGGGCGTGATCATTGGCACATAAATGGCCATCGTGCTTTAGGTTCAGTTCCGAGGGGGAAGAGAGAGGTCCTTTAGCGGCCGTCCTACTCCTCTTTGTCCAGGTCATGTTTGGAAAAAAAGGGTTTCCGTGGGCGCAGAGCTTCCTGTGTGTGTGTCAGGCTCCTTCCAGAGTGGGAAACAGAGTGCAGCTCTCCAGCCCACCTTGCTATGTCCTTAGTTCCAGGAAACATCTCTGGTGAGCATATGAGTGTGCCCTGGTTCCTGTGTGCGCGAAGTGCTGTCTCTGGGTCAATGATGTCTACGCGGTCTGGGCCTTGAAGAGAGGTGATGACATAAAAATCCTGCTCAATAGGATTACGCTGAGGCCCACTGTGGGTGACAGATCGGTGGCACCGTGCTGGGGAGTCTTAGGGTTCTCCCCAGCGTTGGGATTGGGAGCTGGAGGCAGGCAGATTCCTCAGAGGATGCCACGTGCCTCTCCCCGATCGCTTCCACGTGATCGTAGCCTTCTCCGCGAACAGCGGTGTTTTGGGTGCCCAGTGGACGTCCAAGATGGCGGTACCAGAGGCCAACTCTTAAGACAAAACGTCTCTCCTCTGGTTGTGTCTTGCAGTGCGACCATCTCTCCACATGGTGGTCGTGGCCTTCACGTCTCATGTGAGTGGCTGACTTGTGTGTGGACAGACAGCACGTGTGCATGAAAATAGGTATGGGGCTCTCTTTGGTCAAGAGAGAGCCTGGTGCTGTGTAATTGGTGACTCTAAGCCCTTGGGAACGGGCCGCCCCAAAGCCAAACGTGTCCCTCCTCTCTGAAAGGAATCGGACTGAAAGGGGGGCTCAGTGCTCCCTCTTGGGGTCCCGTGACAATGTCATGTGACACGTGCATGGCTTGAGCGCCTAACCTCCTGTACCTTCACCTGAGTGGATGCCCAGTGTCCTGGTGAGTGTTGGAATCGCGCCAGATTCCTTTGTCCAAGGTGACCACGCCCAGGCATGAGCAGTATGGCTCCTCTTCAGCTTTCTTGCAAACCCTAAGGGTGTGTGCGGTGAGAATCCTGTTGCTGGTTATTTTTTGTTGGTGGTGTGGGATCCTAGTGCCCCCATCTCCATGGTGCATTTTTTATGTGATTCCTATTATTTGTTTGTTTGGTCATGTTGTTTCGTTCATTCTCTCCTTTCCTGCTTTTCGACGTGGTCATTGGCGCAAAAATGAACTAGTTCCCTTTCAGTTGAGGTCTGATAGGAAGAAGATGGGTCCTTTAGAAGCCCTGTCACTCCTCTGTTCCAGGTCATGTCCCGAAAGCAATGGCCTTCTTTTGGCCCAGAGCTTTCCTGGGCTCTATCTGTTACGCTCCTTCCAGCGTCGCAACAATGCAGCCGACCAGCCCACCTTGCTCTGTCCTCATTCCCAGGAAACATCTCTGGTGAGCAAACGAGTGTGCAGTGGTAAGTTTGTCAGCTTGTGGCCTCTGTTGGGTCAATGATGAGATCGCATTGTCTCGAATGGAAATGATGACCTAAATAATGCCCAGTGTGAGTGCTCTGAGGCCCCAAGTCCATGACCATTTGATGCGCCTCGTCTGGGTCTCTGGCTTCCCGGGAACAATGGGGTTTGCTTTCTGAGCAAAGCAGTGCCCTGAAGGGGTACCTTTTGCCTCTCCCTGGTCACTTTCTTGTGAGCATGGCCGGTTCATATTCAAGGGCTGTTTGGCCTGTTCTCCTGGCCGGCCTTACTGCAGGCCATTTTTACTAATTTTTTCTGGCTTTGCTTCTTGCAGTGAGACCATCTGGCACATGGTGGCTGGTGCCTGGACGTTGAAGGTAATGTATGTCTTTTGTCTTTCGTGGGGCGCAGGTGTGCCCTTGAGTATTAATGATGTTTGGATGTTTTTTTGTTATTATTGATTTTATGGAGAAATTGAGGGTCGGGGGAAGAGAGAGATTGAGATTCTTTGATCTGAGACAAAAACATCGGTCGGTTCCCTCTCATCCCCTCCTTGTCTGGGGCTGGAACCCAAAATCTGGGTCTTTGTGTCCTGCTCTGAATTGAGCCACTAGGTTCTGGTTCCTCAGTGATGAGAGAGAATCATTGATGTTTCTGTCGCTCTTTCCTTCTCCCTTCCTCTCTGAAACCAGTAAAAATATATTGACGCAATGACTGTGGGACCCATTGTAGTTCTTTACGATGTTTTTACCCCGGGTGTTTTCTACGTCTCTGTCTTTGCTTTGCTTTTTGTCACATTTCCCCAAGACAGGGCTGTAAGAAGTCTGTCTCTTCAGCGGCCAGGGGTGAGTACCTTCTCATGACTTTTGGCATTGATGTGGCATGTGTCCTGTGACCGTCCTGTGATCTCTGTCCATGCCCGTGAGGGCATGGGTGCTTGTGAGGACATGGGTGGGGAACCTTTTTCCTGCCAACAGCCATGTGGGTATTGATATTATCATTCGGGGGACCATACCAAATGATTAACTTAAAAATTAGCCTGCTGTTTTGTCCAACATTTAAATAACTCACCCCTAATGCCTTGGCAGGGCCAGGCCACATGACTTCATGGGCCTCCTACAGCCCATGGACTGGATGTTCCCCACCCCTTTTAGAGCCTTATTTGAAAACTAGAGGCCCGGTGCATGAAAATTCATGTACTTGGCGTGGGGGTCAGGGGGAGGGGTGCCTCAGCCTGGCTGCCCCCTGGTGGTCAGTGCACATCATAGCGGCAGGTTGTTCCCGGTCATTCCACCAGTTGGGTCAGTTTTGCATGTTGCCCTTTTATTATGGAGGATATTCACACCGTTTTCTCTTTTAAGAACCTCACCAGCCTGACCTACGTTGTCGAGTCTTTGTAATTTCTTCTTCCGTCTTCACTCTTTTTTTTGTTGCTTTGATGATAAAATGGAGAAATGGAGAGAGTTTTCAGCAACTGGACCAAAAACTATTGTAGCGAAAACCAAATGTACCCAAATATTATCAGAGACGCATGATCTGTTAAATTATTCAGATTTCTGAATGGCATCTTCATGGCTCGTTGGTTTTTGCGGTCATTCACTCTGTTTCCATTTCTCTTTGACTCTTTCAAGATTGACATGGATGACTTGTTTCTCCTTTTTCCAATGTGGAAAATTGTATGCAAAATTGTGCTCATCTCTTTACAACCCCGGGGATTTTATATGATAAAATTTGCATGGTTTTTTTTTCTTGTTTGTTGCTTTCAGTTTGATATCCCACACATGAGTGAAATGATATGGTTCTTTGCTTTTTCTGTCTGATGTATATCAGTTAGCATGATACTCTCAAGGTCCATCCATGTTATTGCAAATGCTAAGTATTTTGTCCTTGCTTATGGGTGAGTCGTATTCCATGGTGTACATGTACCCCATCTTCTTTATCCAGTCCTCTATCGAGGGACACTTCAGTTGTTTCCATGTCTTAGCCACCATGAATAATGTTGCAATGAACATTGGGTTGCATATACTTTGTGAATAAATGTTTTCAGGCGTTTGGGGTAGATACCCAGAAGAGGGATTGCTGAGTCATGTGGTAAGTCTATTTTTCATTTTTTGAAGACCCTCTACACAGTCGTCCATAGTGGCTGCACCAATTTCCATTCCCACCAGCGGTGAGTGAGAGCTCCCTTCTCCACTGCCTCTCCAGCACCAAACCACTCGTCTTGTTGCTAATGGCCTAACTGACCAGGGGCGAGGTGGTAGCTCGTTGTGGTTTTGATTGGCATCTCCCCAAGAGCTAGTGGGGTTGAGTGTCCTTTCATGTCTCTGTTGTCCGTTTGTAGGTCTCCTTGGGAGAGTGTCTGTGCAGGTCCTGTGCCCATTTTTCTATTGGATTGTTTTTTTGGTGTTGAGTGGTGTGAGTTCTCTGTGTATTTTGACTATGAGCCCCGTATCAGGGCTCTGGCCGTCTGTGAACACCTCATAGACACGGACAACAGTGTGGTGGTGACCAGAGGGAAGAGGTGTCGGGGGAAAGGGAGCCTACTACATGATGATGGAAGAGGATTTGGCTTTGGGTGGTAAACACGCAACGGAATATTCAGATGTTGTGTCATAGACTAGTACGCGCGAAACCTGTGTAATTTTATTAACCAGTGTCACCCCAGTAAATTTAATGGGCACCATAAGGTTTTACAACCTCAAGTGTTGACAAAGATGTGCCATAATCAGACCTCACAGAGAATGTTGAAAGAAGATCACATGGGTCAACTACTTTGGGGGGAATAAAAGTGGCAACATTTCTTTTGAAACACAAAGTAGTTCAAATGTCAGTGCTGCTTTGGGTTTTTAAAAGGATTTATTAGCGGTAACAATTGGAGACAGATGGAAATATATCATTATTTCTGTCTAAGACTTGGAATACCTATGTCTAAGAGAAGAGTGGTCCCTACCTTCCCTGGAAAGTTATATTGAAGGTTGTGTGTTGCCTGGGACCTAGTGATCAATGCCGTAAGGATAGATGAACTCTTTTCTTGGCCATTTTCTGTCCCTGATTCTATCAAGTAGCACTAGTTTTTGTATTAATTTATTACATGGTGTTTCCTTATTTCCATTAGAAACCAATAGGAGACATGGCTCTTGAAAATCCTTCAATATTTGAATACTGAAATTAGCACTTACAACCTATTCATTAGTCAAAGAAGATATGAAAAGACACTTCCAGGCTGGTGGAAATGGTGACGGGATTAAGCAAAAAACACACAGAAAAACTCATAGACACAGGCAGCAGTGTGGTGATGGCCAGAGGGAAAGCGTGGTTGGGGGAGTTAGAGGAGTGTAGAGGGGAGATCCGTGGTGAAGGAAGGAGACTTGACGTGGGGTGGTGAACGCACAAGACAGTATACAGATGATGTGATATAAAACTGTACACCTGAAACCTATATAATATTATTAACCAATGTTACCCCAATAAATTCATTAAAAAATAAAAAACCTGTTTTAAATGTAGTAATGATCTAATAAAATTATTCTTTCTTCCCAAAAAAAAACTCCAAAAAAACACAACAGTATTTTGAACTGAATCAAGATGAAAACATAGCATATTAAAATTTATGGGATGCTGCTAAAGCTGTATTTAGGGGCAAAATCATAGCACTGTCTATCTTAGAAAGAAGACAGATTTCAAACCAGTGACTTTACAGTTGACTCTTGAACAACACAGGGTTGAACTGCATGGATCTACTAATATGTAGATTTTTTTCTCAGTCACTATATTGTAAAATTCTTTGGAGATTTGGAACAATCTGGAAAAAACTGGCAGGTGAACCGTGTAGAAAATTGTTTTCAAAGTTAGGTATGTCCCATACATGTACATTCGAGTCAGTTTTATTCTTCACCAGCATAGAACATGCATATAAAGCGTGACAGTTCATAGCGTCCCATGCTGACCTGTGGTGCCCGCTGTGCCCGTGTGTGAGCTGTTTGTCTGTCGTGTCAATTGTCTGTCGCAGTAAAAAGTATCTCTGTGGTTCTCCCATGTTTTTCATCGTGTTCAGTGCAAAACCATAGCCTCGGATAACACCATGGGACCCCCAGGAAGCGCCCCTGGTGACGCCGGAGTGAGCCCGAGGAAAACGTCACAGCGGAAACTGCGTGATGTGTGCTGATGGATGGAGGGCGGCGGTGGCAGCGGTTGGATGGTTCAAGGCAAAGTTCAAGGTAAAGGGATCCCATGGGAAAGAAAGGAAAAGGAAGGACGTGAGGGTCGCAGCTGGCGAGCAGGCACGGGGACCTCGCACTTTAGCCGGACACCTTCTGCGTCTTGCGTCGGGAGCGCCGTGTTCATGTGGGTGCAGGATCTATTGCAATAAAAAGACGCACGCCTGTCGACTCAAGGATGATTCCAGAAGAAAGCGAAGGCGTGCGAGGATCGCGGGAAGCTGAGGGGAGGGGAGGAGCTGAAGCTGGGAGAGGTGATGTCAGCCGAGGACGATGGATCGTTCGGGAAGAGTTTGCTTAAGAAAAAATGAAATGTCAGAGCGAAGGTGGCAGCGTCGAAGGGCTAAGTGGCAGCCGGCAAGTTTGGGGAACCAGGAAGAAAGTGACGGAGGGAAAGGACAGCTGCTGGAACAGGCGTCGGTGCAGGGGTGCGCCCCACGCGGAAGGAGGGAGGAGGAAGGAAGAGAAGGGAGCACCAGGATTTAAGGCACGAAGGCGTGGCTGCCTCCGCTGTGTTGTGCGAAGTTGGGCTGATGAGCGGGGCTGCCCCGGTCACGGAGCTGAAGGGAAGACAGACAGACACCAGCTTGGGCTGGACGACAAGAGACCTGGACGAGGATCCCCGTTGTCTGGATTGATTCCATCGGTGAGTTGTCTCTGGAGGAAGAGAGGACCTGGCCGGAGGGACTGCCCTGGGAAGCGCTTTGGAGGTGGACACGGCCCCGGGCCACCACCCCCGTGGGAACCATCAGTGTGTCCGGGTCAGCCCACCGACGGTGAGGACGTGGAAGGAGCGTTGGGCGCAGGACTCGACGGGAAAGATCGCCGAGCGAAGGAAGGGACCCCGCCAGGGAGAGGTGAACCTTGGAGGCTGGGAGGGTGAGGCCGTCAGAGTCGCCGTGGTCGCGAGAGAAAGGGCCCCAAAGCCATCGGGGCAGAGCGTGTGCACTCCTGCGGGAGAAGGGCCGGTGCCGTGCACATCACTTCTCAGGACTTCAGGAGCCAATCTCAGACATCATGAACAAGAGCGGGGCTCGCACAGGCGGGCGGGGCTCGGGGACATGGCAGAGCGAGAGACGCCGCCCCAGGAGTGCACGGGACGGACGGACGGACCGCGTGACGGACACGAGAGCCTCGGGACGGCCGGAGAGGAGGGAAGAGGGACGCAGAGTTGTCAGCCTGGCGGAGGGTCCGGTTCGTGGAGACTGACGGGACTTGGTTTGGAACGTGGGCGCCGGAGCGAAAGCCGGCGCTGGGAGAGCCGTGGGTACCGGCCAGAAACATCTGCAGGAACGCACGGCGGCATCGGGCAGGAGTGACGGATGGTTTTCTTTCGGAAAGTTACACGGGTGCGTGCCTGCCTCTCCCGCTTCGCCTCCGCTGCCGCCGCCGCTGCCGCCCCAACGCGAAGGCGAGAGGACGAGAGACCCCGACGACCCGTGTTCTGAGTGGACAGCGACGGAGCGTCTCCGCACCGGTGGCCGCCGAGGAGCGCCGGGGGCCAGGCTGCTGTGCGAACAGGTGGACGACGCACGAGGGCACGAGGTGAGTGCGGCTCCCGTCGGACGGTGGCGTGTCCGTGTGCTGGCGTCTGGTGGCTGTGTGTGCGAGGCGTGCGGTCCCGGGACAGGCGTGCGGCCTCCCGTCACTGGGGAGAGCGTGCGGCCCAGGCGCGTCCCTTCCCGCGGGACGACGTCCCGGTGCTGGGCGGGACACGCTGCCGCCGGCGCCCGGCCTACCCGTGCCCGTCCGGTGGCCGCTTCCCGTTCTCAGTCCCTAGCTTGGGGGGATGTGGATTTCGCTGTCTCGCGGCCCTTTATTTCCGACGCCCAGTGTGAGTCCAGCGTGGGCTGTGTTGGATGGGAAGGCACTGTGGTTCCCAGGCAGACGGTTCACCTGGAGAGAGACATGAACTTGGGGTGCAGTGGTGTCACGCCAGCCTCTCTTCCGAGGGTTCGTACACGCCCTTTCTCCAGCTGACTGTTCCGTAAGAACACGGTCTGCCATCGTACAAGTGACACACGCGAGAGGCGCTCCCGGGGAGCTCACGTTACCGGCAACGCTCCGGGCGGCTGCCGGCTTTCAGGAGCCACGTTCTGGGGGAGGCAGAACTTAATACACCCGTTTTCTTTACTCTGCAGGGGGCCCATGCCCTAACGCTCACGTTGTTCAAGGGTCACCTGTGTTTTCACTGTATTTACTCTGATAGGAAAAAACACACAAAAGTACTTTTTAAACAACTACAACAGTATCCCTTATGAGCATAAAAGTAAAAAACTACCATAAAACTGTGGGGGAAACTGGGCCGAGTACAGAAGCGCTCCCGGGCCAGGGGCCTTCCCCGGGCCTGCACGGCTGGCCCACGTTGGTTTACGTTTACGTCCAGTTGGTTGGACACACGATATTATATCAGCTCCAGGTGTACAGCTGGGTCAGCGGCGTTTGTGTGCCTACGGAGCCGTCCCCCGGCAGGCCTCGTACCAGCCGCACCATCAGCCATCACCCTTCGGTGACTGTAACCAGCGCGCGGCACTTCGTCATCCCTCTCATCGCAGCCGCCCACCCCTGCCCCTCCCACCGTCTGGCAGCATCAGTTTGTTCTCTGCATCTGCAAGATGTTTGTTTTTTGTTTGTTTTTTTCCATTTATGTTGTTCGTTTGTTTTTAGATTCCACATCTAAGTGAAACCACACGGTTTTTATATCTGTCGACTGACTTCACTGAGCGGATGACCCTCTAGGTCAGCGGTGCTCATCCTGTGGGTCGCGACCCGTTTGGCAGTCGAACGACCCTTTCGCGGGGGTCGCCTAAGACCATCCTGCAGATCAGATATTTACATGACGATTCATCACGGTAGCAACATGACAGTTATGAGGTAGCCACGAAAATAATTTTATGGTTGGGTCACAACATGAGGCGCTGTATTAAAGGGCCAGAAGGTTGAGAACCGCTGCTCTCGGTCCATCCATGCTGCCACAGGTGGCAAGACTTCATTGTGTGGCTGAGTCCTGCTCCGGCATAGACACGTACCAGGCCTTCTTTCTCTTCTTGTCTTTGATGGACACTTGGTTTGCGTCCATCGCTTGGTTATTGTAAATCATGCTGCAGTGAACATAGCGGTGCAATGTGTGTGTTTGAATTATTGTTTTGGGGTGTGTTGTTTTTTTTAAATAATTGGGAAGGGAGCCTGGCTGGTGTGGCTCAGTGGTTGAGCATCAACCCATGAACCGGAAGGTGACTGTTCAATTGCTGGTGGAGGCACATGGCCGAGTTGCATGTTGGATCCCCAGCGTGGGGCGCGCAGGAGGCAGCCGATCTATGGTTCTCTCTCATCATGGATGTTTCTCCCTTCCTCTCTGACATCAATAAAAACGTATTTTTATTTAAAAAAAACACACAACACAGTTGCCGGCTTTCTCAGTGTCGCAGGCGCGCCCTGTGCCCGATCAGCCCTTCCCCGAGGGGCTGGGCCTGCTCTGGACTCAGGCTTCCGGGAGGTGGGGCTGGAGGGACACGTGTCGGGGGGCAGCTGGGCCTGCGGTCGCTCGGGTCGTGGACCAGCCCCCCAGGACCCCGCCCTCGAAGGAAGACGCCCTGGGCCACCAGCGGGCGCCCGATGACCTGCAGGATTCTTACCGAACACTGGAGCCTGGAACAGAACCCTGTGGGCACAGCGCCCGCCTGCCGCCAGCCACCCCCAGCCGGGCAGCTCCTGCAGAAACCACCCGCCCAGCGAGCGCCCCAGCCCTGCGGGCAGCGTGGCCAGCCTGGGCCCCTGGTGCCGCTCGGCCCTCGGGAGGCACGCGAAGCTGCTGGAGACGGAGAAGCCGTCCTCCGTCCTGTCCTCCACTGAAGGAGGAGCACCTGCTGCAGAGGCCGCTGGGCCTCCTGGACGCCATTAGAAGCGCGAGGCCAGCGCCCGGCTCACGGAGCAGGAGGCCTATCAGCGCTGCCACGCGCAGCTGCAGCGGGTCGAGCTGGCCCACGCCTGGCTGCGGGGCGACCGGGACCTGGTCCAGCGGCTCCTTCTCCTCCAGCACCTCGGACGAGAGCGGGGCGGCCGTGAGGGCCATCGTGCAGGGCCGGCTGGGAGCGAGGGCAGGGGGCTCTGCCTGTGCGGCCTGGAGGCCATCCAACCCTCCCCGCCCATTGGGGGCAGTCGGCCGGGGGACGGCGGGGCCCAGGCAGCTTCCAGGGTTGCCCTCAAGGCAGAGGAGCCATGGTGGGTTCTCGCTGTCGACACCCAGGGTCGCCCGGAGCCCGCGGCCCAGCAGAACGAGCTCCCCAAGGGCCGAGGGCCCGCACCCGAGGGGGACGGTGCCATGAGCTCCGGGCAGAATGACCTCCAAGACCCATAGGCTGGCAGCAGCCGAAGGCCAAGCTGCTGCTCTGCGTGATCCACGGGGACCTTGATGCGGAGCAGCCCAAGAGGAGGCCGCGGCCCAGGGACAGACCGGGGTCCCCGCCGTGGAGCTCCCCGTGAACAAGCCAGGTCTCAGGAGGCAGAGCCCTGCGCTCCCACAGCCTGTACGTCCAGAGCCAGAAGCCGTCCTTGGAGAGACCAGAAAGCATGCAGAAGCCACCGCACCCCCAGACGCCCCCTCCCACCTGTGTCCCTAAGTGTGAGCTCCTGCTTCCCACCCAAGAGAAGTGCTACCCGACCTCAGCCCACGCCTGGACCCAGGGAGGAAGCGAGCTGTTCCCGTTCTACAAAACCACGACCATCGCGTGGACACGGCCAGAAGGGCAATAACTTGTGGGACGTGACAAATCTGGTTCAGTGGCAGCTGGCAGAGGGGACGGCCGTGGGAACCCGGCTCTGATGTCTGACCTTCTCACAATAAAAACCAGCCAATGCGAAGCAGTTGCCTTGTCCCTGGCCCTGCACCCCCAGGTGAGCCCAGGTCCTTCCATGTGCTCGCGACGGGGCTGCGTGAAGCCCGCCGACCCGCCCGGCCGGGGGCAGAGCCCTGTGCGAGGCAGAGGCCTGGCTTCTAGCTGCTCCACTAGAAATGCCATCCGTGCAGTGGCCCCGGGCGTCTGACAAAGGCCTTCCCCGCTGGAGACGGTCCCCTCACCTGGGGCATGAGGGTTGGACAAGACGACCTTTTAGGTGTTGCCTTTGGGCCTAAACGTCCCCTGTGCAGTGCGGTTAATGTGTCACAAAAGCAGGTTTGGGTGGCTGCCCTGGGGCAAGATGAACTCCTTTAGGCCCTTGTTCCCACTTTTCTCTGAAAACAGCACCAATCTTTTTGTTATGATTTTTTTAATTTTATTTTTTAAATTGAGTTTACTAGAGGCCCGGTACACAGATTCGTGCACGGGTGGGGTCTCCCCGGCCGGGCTTGCGGGGATCAGGCTGAAACTGGCTTTCCGACATCCCCCAAGGGGGTCCCAGATTGCGAGAGGGCAGTTCTTGAGTGACGCACCCCGAAATTGGGCTCCTTCCTCTCTGGTTCCAGGTGCATCACCCGAAACCACAGCTGCCAAGTCACTGTAGCTCAGCAGCTCCTGTTGCGTGTCTGCCCCCTGGTGGTCAGTGTGCGTCATAGCTACCGGCCAGAGCATCTGCCCCCTGGTGGTCAGTGTGTGTCATAGCTACCAGCCGGACAGTCGCTTAGGTTTTTATATACATAGCTTGGGGTGGCATTGGCTAGTAAAATTATTTAGGTTTAGGTGTGCCATGTTATGATACAGCCTCTGTCTGTTGTATTGTGTGTCCACCACCCAGTCTGTCTAGTCGCCTTCCCTCACCGTTTAGCCCTTTTCCCCGTTCCTACCAAAGTCCTTTTATTATTAGCCAGATGGTCAGGAGGCAAATAGACGGAGGAAGCTGTGCTTTTACATTTGAATGAATACCAGTCAGGCACTCGTGAAATATTGCTGATGTGTTTCCAGGTGTGTTTTAAAGAGCTACTTAAAACAACGCTGCCAGCCCTAACCGGATTGGCTCAGTGGATAGAGCGTCGGCCTGCGGACTCAAGGGTCCCAGGTTCGATTCCGGTCAAGGGCATGTACCTTGGCTGCGGGCACATCCCCAGTAGGAGGTGTGCAGGAGGCAGCTGATCGATGTTTCTCTCATATTGATGTTTCTAATTCTCTATCCCTCTCCCTTTCTCTCTGTAAAAAATCAATATTTAAAAAGAAAACAACGCTGCCAAATGCCCATGAATTCCCGTCTCCCTGGGCAGTTCCCCAGGAAACCCCTGAGAAGGGCCACGTGTGTCCCTCCTCTGAAGGTGGAGGGGGTGTCCGTGAGGCCGCAAACTTGGACTTGTGCACAGTTAGGGGCCCTCAGAGGAGGAGCAGCAGGAGCAGGGCACTCGGGTGAGGACAGGAGGAAGCAGTCTGCTCCCCAGTTTTCTTATTGAACTGACTGGGGGGACGTTGGTCAATAAAACTGCGTTTCAGCCGCAGAGTTCTGTGAAACAGCATCCGGGTATTGCACTGTGTGGTCGCCGGCCCAAGCCAAGTCTCCTTCCGGCACCATTTGTCCCCCTTTACCCTCTTCTGCTCCCCCCACCCCCTCTGGTAATCACCATACTATTGTGTCTACGCGTTTTTCTTAATCCCTTCACTTTTTTCCCCGCAGCCCCACCCCCAACCCCCCCTCCCCTGTAACTGTCGGCCTGGTCTGTGTCTGTTTTGTTAATTAGATTCCACGTATGAGTGAAGTCACATGTCTTCCTCTGACTGCTTATCTCACTTAGCGTGACTCTCCAGGGCCTTCCGTGCTGTGGCAAAAGGTGAGGTTTCCTCTCTGACCGCCGTGTAGCATCCGTGTGGACGTGACTGCAGCCGTTTCTAGCCACTCGTCCACCCACGGACACTGGGGCTGCACTTGGTGTCTCATTTTTCACTCGCCTTTTCTTACTAACCTTTTTTCCATGTAGCTATTTTGGAATTTAGAAGCCTTTTGCCCGTGAAAATCGGTTCCCCATTCGTTTGGTTTGGGAAACCCTTACTTTTGAGTGCACGTCCTGTTTCTGTAGTTTCATTTTTTCAGCTGCAGTGGATGCACAGTATGGACTGAGGTGCACGGCTCAGGGACCAAGCACTTACATACCTTCCGGTCCGTCTGTTCCCTCCTCCGTCCTCACGCCCGAAACTGTTTGGTCGCTACCAGGTGCACTTAACCCCGTCTCCTTTTCCACACACACACACACACACACACCCCTCCTCCTCCCTCTGGCAAACCTGCTGAGTCGGTTCTGTTCTGCTTGTGCCTTTGCTGTGTTCTGGGTTCCACATACACGTGAAATCACAGGTGTCTCTGTTCTGGCTTATTTCTGAGCACAAAGCCCTGTAGGTGTCGTCATCCTGTCTTTTAAAGGGTGGAGCCCTAGTCCCTTGTGCACTTGCAGCCATTCGTCTATCGATGGACACTGAGGTGCTGCTGCCGTGAATGTATGGACGTGTATGTCTCTTCAGCGTAGTGCTGGGGTTCCTTCCGGTAAATACCCACGCACACAGTTGCTGGGTCCTTCATTCTCTCTTGGTTTAAGGTCTCTGTCCGGTAAGTCCTGCTGCCCCAGCCTCGTGTGTGTTCGTAAGAGGCCCTGCCCGTCCCTGTACTCAGTCCGCTCCTGAGCGAGTCCTGAGGCAGCACAGCCAGGGCCCCGCTGCCTGTGATCGCAGCTGCACTGCTGGCATCAGAGGGAGGAGGCCCATCACCCGCCTGGCAGCGCGTCCCAGGAAGGAGCGGCCGAGACCGGACCTGGGGTGACTGTGTGTATTGGGGCCTTTTACTTCCTTAATGACAACCTTTTAGTGCCTTAGTCACTGGTTTGGTGGGGAACCCCTTCCTGGAGGTCCCTTGTGCTTTCATTTGGGGCGCATTTCCTTGCCTCGTTGGGGCCCTGCCTGAGCTTGTCCCTGTGGACGAGGCTGAGCTGCTCCACCTCCTGGTCTTGGGGGAGGGGCCAGGGGAGGAGGCGCCTGTGGGGCCGTCACGGAGCTGGGCCTGCAGGGGCCCGGGTGGTGTGGGCTCTGCGCCCTCCTTCTGTAGCTGAGCCCTCGTGACTGTTGGCAGGATGCCAGGGACTTACCTGCAGGCAGGGCGGCCGTGAGGACTGGGGGAGGGTGTCCCTGAGAGGCCGCGCTGGGAACAAGGCCGGCAGCTGCTGTGTCTGCATTACGAGCGTTCGGTTCGTTAGCGGGTTCACATGTGAGTGACAGATCACATGGCGTGACTCTCTCTGGCTGATTTACTTAACACCACCCCCCCACCCCCCGTGCTGCCCCTGGAGGCACGATGTCCTCGCGTCCACTGCACATGCGAGCCACCACCACGATGCGTCTGTTGGGCTCTTGGGCTGCTCCTGCAGTGTGTGGTGAATGATGCTGCAGTGAACACACGTGTGCTTTCTAACCGGTGTTCTGGGTTTCGTCACGTGTGTGCAGGTGCCGCTCACCGGTCGGTCTGACAGGTGTGAGGTGGCGCCGCCCTGTGGTTTGAATGTGCATCTCTCTGAGGGCTGTGGGCCCCTTGTGTCTTGTCAGGCCTCTGCCCACTTTGTACCTGGGTTTGCTTTGGTGTTGAGGGGGAGGAGTTCTTCTGACACAGTTCGGGCGTTCCTTGTGTGGGCTGTGCGTGGCATCTGCCAGAAAAACACTGCTCGTGGGCATGTCAGAGTTTTACTGCTTGTGTTTCCTTCTAGTTTTATGGGTTCAAGCTTCACATTTACGTCTTTAATCCACTGTGGGTTTGTCCTTGCACACGGTGCAAGGTGGTCTGATGTCATTTGTCTGCATGTGTCTCTTCAATAATTGAGTGTCTACCTCATGGCACATTTCTGCCTCCTGTGTGTGTGGCTGTGTGTCTGCCCCAGTGCCGTGCTGTTCTGACCACTATGACCGTGGAACAGTGTGATACCAGGTGCTTTCGAGTGATGGTGGCTCTGTGGTTACAGGGATGCCAGGACCCAGCTTACCTGCTCTGCAGTCTTGACGAGAACCAGGAAATGCTTTGCAGACGAGCACTGTGGGCTCGGGGAAGGGCTGGAAGGTGTAAACGTGTGTGTAAGGGGACGGGGAAGAGTGGTGTGAGGTCCTGGCACGCGCTCTGCTCCTGCAGGCTCCCTGTGGCCAGTGGGGGAATGAGGAACACCAGCCAGTTTTCCGGGCAGCTGTGGGCAGACTCAGGAACTCAAATGCAGGATTGGGGAAAAGTCAGCCACGGCTGTGGGTATGGAAAACAATGGTAATACAGCAACGAACTCCGCTTTCCCGCCCGCAACTGTAAACCTACTGTGGCTCCACCCTACGTGAGAGCCCTTTCACAACATGGCTTTGGGGGTGAAAGTGTTCAGTGCCTCCTCCTAGGAAGGGCGCAGTGACAGGGAAGGGAGACAATGGC